CCTTTCTCCCTCCCCCCCCCCCCCCCCCCACTGTCTATGTATGAATTTTCATGATATATTCAATTTTTCAAACTTTTTGTTTGTGTTTCTGTACCTCTTGCTAACTCTTCCCTTCCTAATGTCTTCCTACACCTTTTAATTTTAGATACAATAGGACGGTTTTCCCTGTAGGCAGTCCTCCAGGTACAGGAAGAATTGATCTCTGTATTCTAAAGTGCACAGGCAGTAGCAGTCCTCCCAGTATTCTTGGTGCAGGGTTTTCCACTGCAGCCTCAAATTCAATTGACCCTCCTCCCATCCTCTACAAAGATAACATTGATTAATAGACTTGTGATCTTTGGTATGGAGCATGAGAAAGTTTGCACAGAACCTGAATCAGGAAACAGTGTGCAGTCATTCACGGAAGTATTTCCAAGTCAGATATTTTTCATCCCCTCCATTTCTTTCTGATCAGAATTAACTCAAAGATAGATTTAATTCCTTATCTTTTCCCCCATCCCTTCTCTGGTTTTCTGGAGTGCTGGGCATAGAGGCAGTAAATTCATCTCACAACGTTCAGGTATTTTGTAGGTACTACTTCAAAAAACAAACTCCAGAATATCTACTGTATTTCAGCTCAGAACCAACCTGATCTGAGGAACCTACTCCAAAGCCCATTGAATTTAAAATAAACATTTCTGTGATGTCACAGAACTTCGGATGTCAGTAGTTTCATTTGTTCCTTCTCTTCCAGTATCTGCCTACACTGTTAGTCTGGTGCCCCCTCCTTCAGTGTCATCATGCTGGTTAAATACTTTTGTGCAGACCACCAGTAGCACAGAGAGAGGCAATTTGTTGAAGCTCATGGCAGTGAGACCTATAAAGTCAGTATTTTCCAGTATATAAATGCTCCTGCCTGTGTCAGACGTCCTGAATTCAGTTGGGTGGGTGTAGGAAGGATGAGGATGGTAACATCTGACACTGATTGTTAGACATGGCAGGATTTGCTCATTTTGTTGTAGGCTGTAGGCATCTTCTGACTTCTGTGCTGCTGTTTTACAGCGGGAATCTGTTACGTGCCAGAGCACGTCAGGATACTGAAGGCAGATATTACATTCCATATGCAAAGATCATTTTAAAAACATTGGTACCTTGACAATTCTTAATTGTAATGCATGGTAAGAAATCTGAAGTCCACAATTTACAATTTTGCCTGCCTAAATCCACAATTATTTCACACTGGATTTGCTTTCAAATGTATCTGCAGCTTGCACTGACCTGCACCTGGTCTTAGTCTGTGTTAAAAATAGGTCTGCTCAGTTTAGGAGCTTGTATATAAATTCAGGCTCTTTTCTTGCTTAAATGCCTGCTTTTACAAGGAATGTTCTTGTTACAAGGTTGTGTAAAGGAAAATTAGTTGCATGCAACAGTAAAAATAAATATCATTCCACGTTCCTTTTCACCACATCAAAGTGTTAAAATAACCCATTTGGAAAAGGTCAGGCTACGATCTTCAGTTAAACAAAGTATGCTGTGATGTTCACTGTGTTTTGTTGGAACGAGAATGGCAGACCAGGAATCAGAAACTGCAAAGAACAAAACGAAACAAATCAAAACCAAACAAACAAAAACCCCACAATTAACAAGGGGATGTAAACTCCAAACTAATTAGCATGTAACCTCCTTCTAATTATTCTTTGTGAATTATAATATTACTGTTCCAAAGTATTTTATTTTATATTTTGTGAATGTTGCCATCTTCTGACATATTGAATTCCTTTCGCAAAGGCTTTCTTGTCCCAAGCCATATTCTAGCTCTAAGCTCCCCCCAAAAAAAGATTTCCTCAGTCAGAACACTGCTATATTATTTCATTATACGTAGTACAAACATCAGTCAAGAATAACATTTAGATCTTCACTTGGGGAATAGCAGTTTTTCTAGCTTAGGGCTACCATGACATTGCTAACAATGTTTTAAAGCAGTGAGTGTAAAGTTTTCTTATGTGATATGTGAATTTGCTTTATTTAATGATATCTATCTGTGGGTAATTATTTTCTAAAAGTCTGCGCAATTTTAATTTCAGTCTAAGTTTGCCTTTTGCATTTGATAGCACTAGATAACTTAATTTCAAAGAAAGCTTTGCTTAACATTAGCCATCTCCACAAGAGTATTTTTCTTTTTACATAAGTGTACTTTTGCTCTAGGAGATAGGAAAGCTACATTCATTAATTCAGATTTCCCAGTAGATGGTGCTCTAAGTACATTTCAATATGTTCATAAATTTACGTCTGAATTATTTGAAGACATTACATGTTCATTAATTTACAGTTTTCACGAGTTCATCAATATTGATGATATGGAGATGTAGAGTTCTATGTAAAATTAAAAAGAAAAAAGTGGTTTTACTAGACAAAAGTTCTGAAACTCGTTGGCTCAACGTTTCCCCCAGTATGCCTATAGTTGTAGTGCATCATGTAAGTATTAATGGTTTGGGTCACATGGGACACAATGTGTTACAGTGGGCTTCCTGACATACTGCTAGGAAAGATGGATGGTACTTCTTGAAAACTACCATCACCCAGTAAAACTTGTGGCAAACTGCCTTCTGCATGGGCCTCTTCTGCTGCTTCTTTTTTCTCTTCTGATACAATGCTTTTTTGTTTTAAACTTGCTTGCAGCTGATGCATGATGATGCTAAATGCCAGTAACTACTGCGCTCCACTCCCGTAAGGAAACTTAATTTGAATATCTACCTAGATGGTAAATATACCATGTATTATATACAATCACACACACTCAGAAATTCACTCAGACATTCCAAACTGGAATCCGCAGAGATAGGCTATTAGACATCTTTATATTCACCTGACACTTTGCTCAAATGTATCTTTATATAGAATATAGTGAAGTACTATTGAAAAATTATCATTATGACAACAATTTCCTCATAAAGTGTTCTCTGTGTTCAATTCTTTATACAAGATGTAGGACAATGTTACAGATACGGAACTGCCCAGGAGAATTTCAAGTTTGCAGCATCTATTATATTCAATGACATCAGTGCTGCAGTTGTTTATATTTTATACGAACTACTTAATAAAATGGCAGCAGTATTTCAATCTTTCCTCATTTAAAATGATAGAAATACTTACTGCTGAAACACAGTATGGAGCAAAAAAAAAACAAATCCAAAACAAATAAAACAATTCTTAATCAAAATTTCAAATAAAAACGTTTCTATTCTGAGAAAGTGAAGCTGGACTTAAAAATCTCTCAACTGTTTTAACCTACAGTTGACTCTGAGTGCCTTATTGGCACCAAAGCATGCTATTCAATCTATGTGGGAAAAAAACATTTTTTAACCTTTAGGTTAAAGTGGGTACACAATTCAATAACAGTGTTAACTAACTTGAAGATATCCTGGTTTTTACATCAGTGACAAAACTGGCTTAAATAGATATTTTCATATTCATACACAGTACATTTAAAGTGTGCCCTAACCTGAAAGACTGGTATTTGCAGCAGAACCCCAATGCATGTGATTATTAATTGATACTTTTATTTTAATTTGTCAATTATGGTAAATTACTTCATGCAGACATTTATATCAGTCTCTGAATATACCTTTATCAGGTAGCAATGGCAATGACAGCTCCGATAGTAGCAGATCTTCTCACATGAGATAATGTTAATAGTATAGTTGCTAGTGATGTTCTGTTACTTACTTACACAAAAATGTTTTTTCTGTTTGCTCGCCTATGACAAGCAATTTGTATGCCATTAATTTTTAATTTAAAAAGTCCTTGTTGATTAACAAACAATTCTGAATTATTTTAGTTCTTGAAATTTACCAGAAAAGAGTAAGTTGTTTGTACCTGTATATGACTACTGTATGCAGTTCACATCCTGACCCATTCCAAGGAAGGAGATGTATCCACACAACCATACTGACTTCATCGGTTCCAGGGCACAGGGAAGGTCACACATGAATCAAATTGCAATGCTGCTACCTGTGAGAAATCATAAATCATGACCTGTGCTTCTCCATCTCTACAAATAATGAGATATTTAAATTGCAATATTTAATTTTTGATTTATTTTATAGTTCTAGAGCATTTTTGGCTTCAGATTTCTGAGATTTCTGGAATCATTGTGATACGTACTTATTTTTTAAATACAAAAATAAATTTTCATTTCAAATTCTCTTGGCTGTGCTGGCAGACCTCTTCTACGTGCTCAGCTACGTCAGCAGAAAAATGCTGTCTTTGCTTATGCGATTCAGGAATGTGGTGCAGCTCTAGCCAAAAAATTCCTTCTGTCAGCATGTCTTGAATCTGTACTGGGGCTTCTGCCAGCCACACTAGTCTGGGCATAGCTGCACAGGCAAATAAAGACAAGCCTTCAGAGCCATGCTGTGGATCTCAGTTGATAGAGCTCAATTTAACCTTTGAATGCCCCAACAATGTTCAGCGATTCCAACATAAACTTAAACCTAAAGTCCTGCCTTGTGGCCAAAATTGAAGAGTTTTGCCCGGAGATGTACCAAAGCTTCCCTACAAGATTTGTTTTGCACAAGTGAAACACTGGGATTACAGAAGCTGCCCATTTCTGCTTATGCCAAAGTCCAGCTGATTTTACAGCACAATGACACAGATTTAGAGCTGGCTGTCTCACAGCTTCTGATGGCTCTCAGAATTCCCATTTGGATGAATGCTTTTTATCTTAACTTCTATTTCTGCCTTGTCCGACATGGGAATAATGCATTTAGTTAACAACTGTTCTGTACCTCCACCAATGATGCGTCTATCAGGTATCGTGCTTTATCTCACCTTAAGCCACATGCCAGCTCCT